AAACGTACAAACAGCCGTCGCAACCACAAAGGCCACCCAGACGAGAACGGTGGCGAAGACAAGGTTTGCATACTGAGGCATTAACGCCAGGAAGCCTTCGGTGCCAATGATGGTTCGCAACGAGGGATATAACTAACAGTTTTTCTTACAAGGTGTCCAAAAAGCGGCCCCCCCCCCTTGCGGGCCGCAGTTACGTCCGATTTTGACGATTTGGGTATCGATCGAAAGCTCTCGAAAATCCGAGTAAACAAGCACCTCTCTTTTTGCAGTTTCGGCGATTTAATTGGCGAATTTTGGCGTCAAAATCCATGACAACCGCCGATTTTATGCAAAATCCTCATGTTAATTGCTTGCGCGACACGACACTGTTTTTGCACTTTCTAAGAGATCATTTAATATAGAGCACGGGCTAGAAAATTTTGTAAAACGAAATGCGCCTGTTTTCTCGCCTTTTCGAGGGCTTTTAAATTGTGTAAAAATCATCACGATACGATCTTTCTCCAGGCCGCTAGAAGGAAGTCGTTTTTTGGACACCCTGTAGCATGCAACAACTTACAGTCCCGTAGTATTGCTTCTCTGCCGGCATGACACATAGGAGACACCGCTAATAGCGGAAACACAGCTGTGAGTGGCCGTTTAGCGGTGGCACAGCTGGTAGCTAGGAAAATTTAGCGGTGTCACAGCTCGCGTTCACTCACAGCTGTGTCCCCGTTACCGCTGCCCCAGTGCGGTGTCACAGCTGTGTCGAGCATCCCGGAGTGGAATCACAGCTGTGGCCCGGGACTTAGTCATTTTTTCGGGTCAAAAAATAAAATTTTCGTAAAATATATGTTTTATATGTCGGAAGTTTTCTCGTGACTGCTTTCGACTCCATTTACTTCGGGTTTTTGATTTAACACTAATTTTGGCCGACAAGGAGACGGTCCCAACCGGACATAAAACTGCGATTTGAGATTGGCGCACTTATAGAGCTTGAAGAACTGAACCCGGCAAACTAATTTTTATTTGCATGGAGTGTATATGAACCAATTTATAAGCCTTTGATATTTTCGCTATACCTTCATAGGCTTACTCCGCTCCCCGACCGATGTGTCATCGTGGTCTAGTAGATAAGGAGTTAGGCGAAGCGTGGGGCAAAGTAACGAAGGTTCGGATCCGCGCAGGATTTTATTTTTTGCTTTTTGGACCAGAGCTACTATTTAGCATCACAAAGCCCTAGAATAAACCATTTCACCTCCAGGAACGCCTCCAAAACAATAAGCGGCGCGGGGGCACAACGGTGGCACAGCTGTGGGGGATACACAGCTGTAGCACAGCTGCGGCACAGTTCATTAATCTACAGGTGCCACAACTGTTGTTCCGAGTGGTGTCACCTATGTGTCATGCCGGCAGAGTTGTTCTCGGTCATGTCAGTGTTGGACCAAGAATATGTGTACAAGGGAATGAACTGAACATACGGCATCACTTGAAGAACGGTAAAAAAGGTTATTGTGTTCCTAAAGACTTTATTGCGGCCACTTACTGGCGGGCTTACCAAAAACCAAGCTTTAGCGAATGGTTCTGCGGAAGGATCGCAAAATATCTGTGTAAGAACATTGCCACAATCAAGGCAACGACATGAAGAAACAGACAAAAGGCCGCCGTCTAAATGCACGATAATTTGCGTGATATGAGACTTCTCTCACAAGTTGTATGATCGTCGTTACGCCAATTTTCCCCAACCAGCCCGTTGTGATGCCGCCAAATATTGGCAAAAACAGCACCGGGCCAATCCCGGCTCCAATTATGAAATCGGTGGTTGTTGACAGCATCTGTAAAACCGGGATCGGGGAATGTTCGATTTTTCGAGTAGCACAAATGGCTGTGAGCCATTTGTGCCACCATAAATGGCTGTAAGCTATACCTGATAGCCCGTCATTATCCAACCAAGGGTCCGCATCGAGCTTGGCGTGCAGAAAGCTATCGCATACAATCCGAAGAGGTTTACGAGCAGACCGAAGACTAAAAACACTTCAAAATATAATGAGTCAAGTCAAGCCAGATTCTGAGTGAGGCAGCTTCGATCGTTAAAAACATACGTGAAAAATTGGTCATGAAAACAAAGATCCATCGCTCTGCCTCGAAGGAATATTCGAAGAAGACCGGTACGACGACCATAGGGCTCTTTCAAAGCTTGCGCTTTCCGCGTTATAGCAAACACGGTGCCATAACCTTCAGCTGCTGCTCGTTATGGTAACGGCTGTTTTCGGCATTGAACCGGGTCTTTGGCAGGTGTTCTGTTATGTGGTGATGTACGAAAAATCCGTTCCGTTTGAGCCGAGCGGGGGTGTTGCCCCTGACATAATGACACGGCTCTATGCTTCATACTTGTATGATCTTTAAGAACGCAAGACAATTTGGATTTTTGTGACTAGTGAACAGTGTTAAGTTCATTTCCTTGGGATCTAGCGGCACTTCCGGATACAAAGGCCGGTCGGGTGGCCATCAGAGAAAATCTCCGGAATTTCCCATTTTCCCGCACGGTCACGACGGTGGAATGCGATATTCCCGCTTTCCGTTTTTCGAATAACCCTAAAGATGGGAATCGCGGGTTATAGTTTATAAAACTCACATGGCGCCAGGAAAGCCATCAGGTCCCATGCCGTCTGTTTCACAAACAACTTATAATGCTTGTATAGGCATAGGATCCCGATGGTAGCGCAGATGCCTTGATTGCAGAATAATATGGTGGCCAAGTAGGGTTGGGTTTTGGCGCAACCGGTTTCCGATCGATCGCTTTGCATATCCTAAACGATTAAATCGTTGGAAGAAAACCGGTTTCCGGCATCGAACCGATTTAAATCGGTTCACGAGGCAAAACCGGTTTTTGCCAGGCTCGGAAATCGGTTCGGGGTAAAAAACCGGTTTTTCACGATTCGGTCCCGGAAGTGAAACCGGTCTTTATGCAAATCCCCAGCATACTTATTATTCAAATTGCGGTAATTTAAAGCCTCAAATTTCATAAATTTTTGGCAATCGAGTTCTGTCTTAGCTTGTTAGCAATGTACGGTCTCAGAGACAAACGATTAGAACGTCATATTAAACGCTGGTGCGAGTCTGGAGCGCTTCAAAATGATCAAGTACAATCTAAGGCTATCAGTAACAGTCGGGTCCGCGCGTGAAAGCGGGAAAATACCTTGCCTATCTAGAACTGTGACCAAAAAGACAATCGTAAACGACTGGTAAAGCCCGAACAATCAAGTAGGAATCACGCTGTCTGAGTTGATTAGAATTCTTATTATTTGAATAAAGACCGGTTTCACTTCCGGGACCGAATCGTGAAAAACCGGTTTTTTTACCCCGAACCGATTTCCGAGCCTGGCAAAAACCGGTTTTGCCTCGTGAACCGATTTAAATCGGTTAGATGCCGGAAACCGGTTTTCGTCCAACGATTTAATCGTTTAGGATATGCAAAGCGATCGATCGGAAACCGGTTGCGCCAAAACCCAACCCTATGGCCAAGTGAAGCAGGACTAAAAATTCGCTCTAGTTTAAACCGCGTCACTGAAAACTGTATTGCCGATGATATTGTAAACCAACCCAGGAGTGCAAAGTTTTTCGTAAAGTGGATGAGCAAGGATAGCTGGATGGGGGCACCCAGAGCGATGGTTGGCACCAGCATTTGGAGCAGGGCGTTGCGCATCAGCAAATTTTGCAGTTTATAGGTGTGCGCACTAATGCGAGACCGCTGTGCGGAGAGAATACGGTAGCCGGTCGTGGCGACGGAACCTTCAGCCTCAGCCTGAATACTCTGAAAAATACCTGGTACAACATCATCAACCGGCCGAGAGCTCTCATCGTCGGCGGCGTGTAATAAATCATTGCATATAAACAAAATAGGTTCACGCACAGGCTGAATACTAAAATGGAAGCCTTTCGTGGCTATGTTGGCCCCATAGAGTCAAAACTCTAAGCTAGCCAAGACTTTCCCGCTGCATCAAACCGTGCGGACCCATGCTACGAATTTTTGCGTTCTTAGTAGTGTCACCCGGTTCGTCTTTCTTCCTTGTGTCTTACTCGCAATCAGCTGCATCAGCTTGAAAATCCATATCACGTCCTGCAAGGAATAGGTCCATTTCGACGAATCATCGAACATAGATAAGGGGGCGGCTAGAGCGGTGTTGATCTAATGGACCTGCACTGTTGTTACCGTTTAGACCTAATTTCCAGCTGGGACACCGTTGTCAAAATGTCTGGCAGCTGTTTTCATTAACCTCCTTTTTAGTTTTGATTGGAGTTCCGTTTATTTGTAGCGAAAAGGGTATTGTGTGGGTTTGAGAACGTTCGCGTGACATATCTGCAACTTCCGCTTTCAGTCTGTATGACTGTCTGTCACTTTTTCTCTCGCTATCTCGCCCTCTCTGGCTCTCTCTCCTTTTGTGGATTTGAAAATACATCATGCCTCGGATCGCATGCAACTGAATACACCTGACGCCAAATAAAAGTGCACCGGAGCTTAAATACAGTTTACCCCCTTTTACCGCACCCCCAACCCAGCCGGCCCCCAACTTTTGTATCTCGGCGCCCCGTTATCCTACTTAGTTGTAAGGTATACTAAAATACTCGCCAGAGCAAGGCGAACATGTTGGTATACTTTACATACCTGTACAATAACGGACCTTCGACATATCAAGGTTGACGGCCGGCTGGGGGGGGGGGGCGTAAACTGCACTATACTCCGTCAGCAGTCGAATGTATCAGCAAATTAATGATTGATTCCCTTAACCCTCATTTTCCTTTGCTTGGGCACTGCGACTTGATAATGTCCTCCCTAGAACATCCGGGGCCGCAACACTTCTTGATTAGCTGCTCGTTGGGCGACACCAGGCTAGCGCTGCCACAAATCTAAGATTCAAAAATTGTACTTAGCGGCGGTCGACTGTACCTGACTTATCCAATCCGTCAGCGCTTTGCCGCATTTTCTGTCGGCCTCGACGGCACCGAAGCAAAGAATGACTAGCAGGGCAAGCACGGCGAGTCTCATCGTTGTCTGAAAAACGCAACGTTTTTTTGGACTAACCCATCAGCCCTTCTAAATAATTGCTTCTAAACTTACTACTTCTAAAATCTTTACTTTTCCCTCTAAGGTTTTTAGCGTCGAATTGCGAATCAATAGGACCAAATCTGTCGAAAAACTGATAATCCGACGTACTGATTTTAAAAAGAGCGATTTTTTAGAAGCAATGATTTTTAGAAGTAATGACTTTTAGCAATAATAATTCTGAAAGTAATGATGAAAATGTATTGTTTTCAGGTGCATTTAAATGGGCTCAATAAATTTTTGGCAACACATTCGAAACAAAAAAAGCCGGGTAGCCAAAGTTGGTATCAATCCAACGGGCCTCGGCTTTTTATAGAAGTCTCCTCCTGAGAAACCGGCCATCGCCACGAGGTTTTGTGGACCGAATTTGCATAATGTAGGCTTGAAAAACAGCCGCAATGAGGCAGAATGTAGGCCCGGCTACAGTGAAGCCCCCCAGCGTTTTCCTGGCTCAAACATCAATGCGATGTTTTCGAAGGATATTTTATGTAAAATAAGGCGGTTATGGCGCTCCTTGTTCGATGATCACTTTGTTGTAATAGAGTTGTAAAATCAATCTCGCTCTGCCGTTCTCTATTTCTCTTTCTCTCTCTTTCTCTGTCCCTCTATCTCTCTCTCTCTCTCCCTCTCTCTCTGTTTCAATAGCTGGCTGTCCCCTTCACAATATTTTTCCACATTTCTTAAAAACATTTATTCGAATTGGAAAGCATCCGATTCAAGTCCAAAAACTCAATAAAACTCTTTCGATGTGCTTCTGGTAGCCGGAGTGGCTCTCACAAGTGAAAATCTTCTGAACCTCCGCTGTTCTTGCACGGTGACTATGACGGCGTTCGACATTACGATGAGACGCTTGTCGAAAAACCCTAAAAGTTTGGTATAGCCTAGACATTGTCCTTGTCCAGTGGACAATATCCGAGAGCAGTAAGGCGATTTTTACGGGGCTAGGAGGACGAAATGCAAGTTCAGGTTTCGAAACTGTTAATAAGCACTTACACGGCAACAATAATGACAAGCAGTCCCACGTCAGCTGCTTAACAAAGTTCTTATAATGCGTGTAGAGGCTCAGGATTGCCAGCGTAGCGAAGAAGCCGTGATTCGCGATTAATATGGTCACCAGATGAAGACCGACTGGAATTGGGTTTTTCAAAAATGGTACCATCCATTACGCCGAAAAAATCCACGAGTCCCCGGGATTTCGATGGTGGAATTCTGTCCGTGTTATTCTATGCATTCATGGCTATCAGATGCGCTAAAAGGATTCCTATCCTTTTTCATCTGCTATAACAATGACGAGAATTAATGTGCAAATTCAATAAGGTAAAAATCACAATGTCGAAAATAAATGAATGAATAAATAGAAAAAAATGCATGCTGTCGAAATTCAGAATATCCAATTTCCCAATGTTGAGAATCAGGATGTAAAATTTTTTTCATGGGATTCGCGGGGTTTTTCAGGAAAAATCAGCAAAAAGGATTTAGGAGAAATTAGCTTATGTAAATTTCGACAAAACTTTGACACTATGAATTTCGACATTGGGCGATTTCGGCATTATGAAAATTACATTTTGAATTCCGAAGTTTGGAATTTCGACATCATGAAATTGCTAAGTTTTAAAGAAACCCCATTTTTAGTTCGAATTGCCTAATCATGTCGTAGAACCGTCAATTCAACTTACGGATAAACGACAGATCATCCGAGTAGAAGATGTAGGTGGCGAATAGGACCGGAAACGCCGCCGAAGCAATCGAAACAGTCACTTGTAACGCCGCATTGCGCACTAATAGACGTTGTAATTTGTAGGTTTGCGCACTAATTATTGGGCGTTGCGCGCCGAGTACCTGCTGGGCTGACGTCGCGATACCTGGCCGGAAATTCTGGAATATCATGGAAAAGACCTACACACGGCGCAACCAAGCAAGAAGGCCACCCAAAATATGATATTACAAAAGGCAAAATTTGCATAATTAGGCATGAAGGCCACAAAAGTATCAATGTCGATTATTGAGCCAAGTGATGGGTAGAACTAAAAAATATTTTCCCATTCACATGGAGTTACGTCTTTAAAAAAATTCCGATTTGCCGCCATATCAGTTTTGCTCCAGCAATACCCAAAGACAAAGCCGAATTGAGCGTATGGTAGGATTTGGAGTGTGACGAACAGCAAGTTGGCTGCCCTTAAAAGTGCTACAATTATTGTGTAGGTTGCAGGAAAATAACGTCCTTTCTAGTCAATATATACACAGGATCTAATAACGTTATACCAAAAATTGATTACGCAGAAATCCATTACGCAGAAATCCATTATGCCGAAAATCCATTATGCAGAAAACCATTACGTAGAAACCCATTATACACGCCATTCCAGGCTTTAACACACAGGCACGGATAGCTTTTGGGCTACGGGGGGCTCCCTTGCACAAGGGGACAGCGCGCTCGCTACGTTTTTGTTCGAAAATGAACAAACTTTTGAACTAAATTTTAATAGAAAAATTAAAAACTCAATTAGATTGAAATATTCTAGAAGCCAGGGCGCAGATTTTGAGACCTAACTCTCGAAAATCTATTCTGGTACTTTTTTTTGTGATGGTCTTTGAAGTTTAGGTCAGGATTTTGTGCGGTTTTAAATAGCGCAGAAACCAAGCATTGTCGGGGAAATCTGGGCCTAGATTTGGTAAAATCAAGGTCGATTACCCCCCGGTGCGTGAAGTCGGCGCTTAAAATGGCTCCAAGCGACTGTTTTGCAAAAATGGACGCCAATGGATCAACCGTCTCTTTTTTATCCGGCTAATTTGTCCAGATTCTTATTTTTTTAGCAGTTTTCAATAGCTGGAGCACATTTTTTAAGCAAAAAGCAAAAGATGGGTAGAGGTTTTGTGGAGAAATAGCGGTTGCACGTTGGTCCCGGGGGTCGAACCCGGACCCTCTGTTCGAGATTTGGGATCGGCGCTAACCGATTGCGCCGCGGCTCCGGGGGGGTCCTATCCGTGCCTCCATGGAATGCCGTGTATAACGAAATTTCAATACACAGAAATGCCAATACGCAGAAATCCGTTACGCAGAAAACCGTTATAAAGAAAAAGCGATACGTAGAAATTCATTACGCAGAAGACCATGGCACCGAAATTTCCGTACACGGAAAAATTCTCTGGCGAAATTTTCAGAGTTGATGACATGGCATGTAACGCAACAAAATTCAATGATTCATGTAATCAATGAAAGTTAGCGAACAGGGCTGGGAGAAAGTATTCAAAATTTCTTTCAAGAAATCGAGAGAGGAGGATGAGAATCGGGAATCTCGCACAACTGCTAACTAACTAACTAACTGCTAAGACCATTTGACTAGGTAACTGAAAGTTTCTTTGTAACTCTTTTCTGCGTCATGGATTTTCTGCGTAGTGGTTTTCTGCGTATTGGGGTTTCGGTATAGTGGGATTTCGGTGTAATCGAGTTCTACGTAATGGATTTCGTTGTAATGAATTTTGGCTATAACGAGGTTCAGCATAATGCCTTTTGCTGCTTATTGTTTTTCTGCGTAATGGGTTTCTGCTTATTGAAATTTTGGGATAATGTTAAAGTCCTTTCTATTAAATATATACACAGCAGTTACTTGATTCTGTTGATTTTTATGGACCAACTTACCAGAATCTTAGCTTGAGCGGATGATGTTGTGGCAATATCATAAAATAGCGATGCAGAAACATCACCAAAATCAGGTTGAGTGTGTGCACGAAGATGGCAAAGGCGAGCGTCTAAAGCCCACGTAGTTCGTTTGGGTTTTTCGATTTTAAGGGGCCAGAAGCGCCGTGGATTAGGCATATTTCGATAGACATTAACGACGCGACACAAAATCCAAATGTCCAAAAACAATTGTCTGAAGAAATCGCCTCTTCTAGCGATCCGGGGAAAGCCCGGATCATGATTTGCATACCAAACGACAGATTTTGAAACGGCGAGAAAACTAATGCTTTTGATTTTTAAATTTTTTGACTGGTCGGCAATTGTTTTATTATTTCTATTCATCTTTTTAGAATTCCGGTCACTTCGCCTAAATCCGTTTCGCCTAAACCCATATCGCCTAATAATTGGCCATTTTCATAGTTGAATTTTCGACAACAAAGATCGAAAATCAGTCAAAGATACCGCATTGAAAATGGCCAAAAATTTAGGCGAAATGGGTTTAGGCGAAATGGGTATTAGGCAGAACGGGATTTCGGCGAAATGGGTTTTAGGCAAAACGGGTTTTAGGCGAGACGGGTTTTAGGCGATATGGGTTTAGGCGAAGTGGTTTTACGCGAACCGGCGGTCACCCCTTTTGGACATAAACCCCCAAAATAAATACCGAATTGTGAAAACTAGAGGTTTTTTCTCGACTTTTCGAGAGCTTTCGATAGGCACCTAAAGCATGAAAATCGGACACTTGTTTGGTCCTCTACCGGGGTATGCTTTTTCGGCCACGCTGTATCGAGACTATCGAGACCTAGTCTACGCGGAGGTCGATTCTCGCCCTGTTCCTCGCTTTAAAAGGATAGTGTCAGCTTAAGCCGCCGTGAACCCACAATCTGGATGATAGTCGGAACGCCGACCCTCCACAACCATCCCATAGGCATCCCGCCGAACATTGGAAGGTATAGGGCCGGAGCCATGGCCGAACCCAACAAGAAATCGGTGATGGTTGCCACTACCTGAATTGGTTGGCGCTGTGGTATAAGTTTATTAAACTAAAAATATACGTTGACCGGGTTGAATAACCGCTTCGCGGCTTTTCAACCCTGGCCCCGTCTAACGCACACATATTTGTTCCCGATCCTTGATTGCAAAAAAAAAAGGAAAAGGACCCCTCTACCCCCTTATATAGGCTTTCCCCACTTCCGGTGCATGCAAATTGGCTCCTAACAAAGAGATTTTCCGATATCTTTACAAAAACCCAATTTTAATTGCCAAAACAGTAATTTTTCAAAGCTTTGATTTGTGTGCACTCATCTCGGCACCATTACGCACCTAATGACGTATCATACGTACCCTAAAAACCTTCCCTGAGGCTGTAGGTAAGAGACAACCTCACGGAAGTTGCGTGCAAATGCACACACACAGACACTATTTTTTTATATATAGTAGGATAGGATACCTCACGAATATGGGCCACACCTTACTTTACCTCCCCCAGCCGGCATTTTTTGGCTATAACTTTTTTATTTTAAATTATTGTAGGCTCAAATTAAACCCCGTAGTATAGACCTCCCGACCTCCCAACCCGGGTTGGAGGGGGGTTGGGTAGGGGTTTTTGGGGGGGTTGGGCCGGGGGGTTTTGGGGGGTTTTGGGGGGTTTTTGGGGGTTCGATACATAAACTATTAGTTAACTACAATTATCATACTTATGTTTTTGCTTACTATTAGCTTTAGCAAGTATTGAACAACCATTACGGCACGAAAAAAGTGGGAAACTGGTTAGTTTTGTCGGTTTTGCTTGCTGCCAATGGATAAAAATTGATTAAACTAATTTTTTTTTGTTGGTTTCTACCACAAAATCTATTTAAAAAATGTAAACTAGCTTGCTTATATTAAAAATACCTGCGATTTGACAACTTTTTTAGACACCAAATCTTCCTGAAAGCAAAATTTTTGATCGAATTTTCATTTCCACGCTCCAGGCTGGCAAAACGCTGCAATTTTGGGCAAAACAGTTTCCCAATGGGTTATTTGTGTAGGGCATAGCATTACAATCAATTAATGGTGTCATTCCGAAAATAAAAACAAGCCACAATCTCAAATAAAGCAAATAAAGCAATTCATCGGGTAAAAATCCGGCTCGTAGTGTTTTAAAACAGAGTTCGACAAAAATTTCGCTGTCCTCTAGGCTTGTCACACCCCCCAGAGGTTGGGAGGGGGGTTGGGAGGGCGGTTTTTTGGGGGTAAAGGGGGGTAAAGGGGGGTAAAGGGGGGGAGTTCGGGAGGTCTACCGTAGTATATTACTTGACGCTCTATTGAATGGCATTGCAAAAATCCCGACAAAACCAGCGAAAACACCAAAAACTGTGGACCCTTCAGCAGTCGGGGTGGGATAAAGCAAAGTTTTAACCGAATATGTAATAAACACACCTGATATGCAGTCATCAGCCTGCCTAGCGCCCTCATCGGGACTGGGGTGTAAAATACGATTGCGTACAATCCGAACAAGTTGACGAGCAGTCCGATTACTAAATTAGGGATTGAATCTGGTCCATTTTTCTAAGTTAGTTCTTCCCAAAAAATTTTTATTTCTGTTTTTCTTAGTGTTAAATTTTTAGTTATTTGGCAACCTTTTTTTAGAGCTGGTTTGAAGTGTGGTAGAATTACGATATGAGCGTGAGTTAATTTGCTAATTGTAAATTGAACGGATCCTGACATAAAAACAATGCCAACCGATTAGCTCATTCGGGGTTTTCAAGCAGTACTGTAGTAAGCCGCAGTACTCTCGGAAACGTACTCGCAAAACCCCGCATAAAATCGAAGATCCACCGCTCGTCCTCCACGGAATATTGAGCAAGAGCCTCGGTAGCCATTTAGATTATCTGAGCGTTCCCTAAAACTCTACTACTTGCAGAATCGATGGTGAGGCTTTTCGAAAAACGCTTTTCCAGCTGTCATTGGCATTAAGAAACGGGAGAGCCATTTTTATTATTGATCCAGAAGTCGGACAGCTGCATTCCATGCTACGTCTTTTGTTGAATACCATCTGTTATTTTCCTTCTGGAGCAGTAGGTTCAAACTAAAGGCGCTGGAAAATCAAAAATAAAATTGGAATCGTTTAACCAAAATTAACAAAATCAACAATTAATGAAACACGAGGTGGGTTGGAGCATTGTAAGATATAAAACAAGTAGAAACCAAAATGGAAGTCAGATTAAAGGGCTAAGGTGTCAGTGCGAATGGCTTAATTTCACCGTTGCTCTTACTTTATGTTATTATCCGGTATACCTTAAATACAATTTTCATACGATTCGGGTCTTAAATCCATTTATTCACCAAGTTCTACTGTAATAATTAAAATACTGGGCGGTCTCGTGCTCATGGTCCGGGGAGGTCACTTCGATCGGTGTCTCGATGCGTGCCTTGATGATGAAGATTCTCAAGATTTTGAGATAGCGCTTTCTCCACTCCTTGACGGAGTACATCGCCACACCGAGGAACATGATCCCAAAACTGTAAGTCCCAATTAAAAAATAAGCGTCGAGAGATAGATAGAGAGAGAGAGAGAGAGAGAGAGAGAGAAAGTGAAAACGAAGGACCACTTACACAGTAACCCAGTGCTCAAAGATAGCACCAGCAATCAGCGTCTCGAGTGTTGGCGTTTTCGACCCAAGCACCGAGATCATGACCAAGCTGGCACCGAAGAAATCGGCGCAAATCGATAAGAGCAGGAAGTATCGGACTAACTAAATTTAACATCGACACTCACGCTCGTGAAAAGTGATACCTTAAAACATTTGATATTCTCGGCAGCTTGGTATTTAGCGGATAGGCCATAGCTGGAGCTCCCGATTTCCAGGTTCGAAAGCGTTATCGAATTTTGGCGTGCGACTAGGCGATATGTCTAAATGGGATGAAAACGTACTTTCTAACTTACTTACCAAAACAAACCCGAAAATCCCGCCCAAGCAAAGGGGCACACCAACAAACATGAAGACGTCGCGGATCAGGAGCACACCTTTGAGATTTATTAGGTTGGGCGTAAAGACGATATTACTTACAAATCGCCATCATTAATGCGGCAATCGTCGACACGACAAGTGCCACTCCAAGAATCGACGTTGAGATCCATGTCCTTGAGTTCCGCTCGTAGTCCCACATGAAATGCATGGCGAACATTCTGGAACAGCTAATATCCCTAGCTCTCTCTCGCTCTCTCTCTCTTTCTCTCTTTCTCTCTCCCTTTCTCATGCTCGTTCTCTCTCTCTCTCTCTCTCTCTCTCTCTCTCTCTCTCTCCCACTAGCTCTCCGTTCGGCTGTACTTTACTTTTACCATAGCCGGAAATTCCCAAAATTTTTCGACATTTTCGCTATTTTATAGACATTTTGGCAACGACATTCGATGGATCAGCAAAAAACATACGAAGAGTTTCAACTACAGCCCAAACTAAAGTAATATAAAAAGTTATAGCATAAACCTTTTGGGAACTTCCCGCCGGACGGACAAACTAATTCTCTCTCTGTTTCTCGCCCTCGCTCTCTCTCGCTCTCTCTCCCTCCCTCCCTCTCTCTCTCTCTCTCTCTCTCTCTCTCTCTCTCTGAGGCCTACCTCTCCGCGATTATCATCGGAAAAATCCAAAACAGAAAAGCCATCTGTTCCAACAACGCAAGGCCAGCGCAGACAAGTGGCAGGTCTCCAATGACGTTTCCTAAAATCGCTTTAATAAGGCTTCAGGGCATCCTAGGCTATGCTTATTCCATCAAGCTTACCTGTCCTCGTCACCACCTCGAACTCGTAGAGCATCATGACAAAGCGCATCACCATCGCCAAAAACGTGTGCAAGACGGTTACGAAGATGATTCGACGAAGGTTTATGTGGAAAATTGGGCAGGTGCAGACGACGTAGAAAAATGGGAGGTAGGCAATGCACGTGATGATTAAAAAAAGGACCTCGATGACGGTGGTGACGCTCAGGATTTGGAGGAGAAGCGGGAATTTCTGAAATTCGGGAGGTATAAAGACGAGGGAGTGCGCGAGACGGAGAGAGAGTGAGCGAGACGGAGAGAGACAGAGAGAGCGAGAGAGAGAGAGAGAGAGAGAGGAGAGAGAGAGAGAGAGCGAGAGAGCAGAGCATGAGAGCGAGAGAGAGATAGACAGAGAGAAAGAGAGTGAGTGAGAGAAAGTGTCCGTACCTTCAACGCATCCAACTCGATGAGCAGCGTCGATAGGAATCTGATGTTCACCCCGCATATTTCCACCTCGTAGATTAAACCGGGTATCATTTAATGGAGAGGGAGCAGATCTTTGCTTTTAATGGCAAAATCGACCAAACGTTTTTCAGCATCGATTTTGAAACTAACCGAGTCGCCTTTGCCGCCGCATTTCACCTGGCCGTCGGGGTTGACCGCCGGGGGGCAATCTGTGTTCAGAATTCTTGATTACGAGTCTTTCATGGGGTTTCTTCGAAATTCAGGAGGTTGTAGTGAGCAGTTGCGGTCGTGCAGTTTGCAAGGAGGAAAGTATGCCTTTCGAGCGCCGGAACCATGCCTGGAGCAAAGGGGTAGATCGATTTGGCGTCTCCTTCTGATACTTTAAAGCCGTACACTATCCGCTTATTAAGTACGTTCATAGGTGCGTAAGGTACTAACTTTTCTGTAGCGCGACAGGTGTATTTTGGAGACCAGGAAATTTTCTAGGTTACCAGCAAAACGATTCTTGTTTGTCGGTATATTTCAGTCGATTCGGCACTCGTTAAAAATGATAATAACAGCGCAATAAAACTATTTATTAATGGCTTTTGCACTCCGATTCCACTGTGATTCGAGCTGTTGGAAGTAGTCTTCTTGATTTGCGCCAGTGTAGAGAACCTTAAAAAACAGCCGATTTCAGTCTCTCTCTCTCTCTCTCTCTCTCTCTCTCTCTCTCTCTCTC